AAAAAAAAAAAAAAAAAAAAAACTGAAATGGTTCAGCTTGCTGGAAGTTTTAATGAACCACAATATGTGTCCCTTATATACCTTGCCTTGTCATTATACTTCAGTTTGTGCAAGATTTCTGCATTAATGTTATAAACACTTGCGTGGGAGCCCTGTCATTTTCAGGACACACAGGATGTCTCAGTTCCAGCTTTGGGGTCAAGTCATGGTAATATGGATTGCTTCATATTTCTATTTTCTGGAATATCTGGTTGGAAGTTTTTTTTTTATTGTGAAAATACTGTACAGCGGGGTTACAATTACATGGGCACGATAATGAGTACATTTCTTATCAAGCATTGTAGCCTCCTCCTTTGTTTCCCCTTCCCATCCTCCCCCCCCCCATACCCAAAAAAAAAGAGTTGTTTTAATCTTTTTTCAAGCTAATGAAACCCAAGAAAAATCCAATCATCCTAATTATTTTTATCCCTTTTTTTTTTTGGTCTGGTCATGAGGCCTGAACTCTGGGCCTGGGCGCTGTCCCTCAGCTCTTCAGCTCGAGGCTAGCACTCTACCACTTGAGCCACAGCCACTTCCGGCTCTTTTCTTTTTTCTTATGTGGTGCTGGGGAATCGAACCCAGGGCCTCATGCATGCAAGGCAAGCGCTCTACCACTGAGCCACCTTCCCAGCCCCTTTTATCCCTATTTTTAAGGTCACAAATTCAATAGTTAAGAGTCAACTAACATACGGTTTTGTTTAAGTCTAGGTAGAATTAGAGGGGACTCCCTATTGGGGTAAAAGAATGACAGTTATAGGATTAATCATAAAATTCCTGTCCAGTTTATTTTCTGAGAAAGGATAACTTGTGTGGTACTTCTGGAATTCATCAAAGTAACTGCTTGCTATTTTAATAAATTTTTCACATTTTTCCCTAAAGGTAGTACATGAAATACTTTTGTCTAAATAGAGACCCCCTACCTAGAAATTTAAAAAAGAATTACAGTATTAAAAGCCAATTGAAAATCTCTATATTTAGTCCAACACTTTAGATGCTAAGGTGGTAGATTTAAGATTAGTACAAAGTACTTAATTATTTTATACAGTTTTTAATGTTCTTCCCCTTTTTAATTTTTTATTGTGATTAAGTGATTACATAAATTTCACAAATTTGATAGTCTTGTAGGATAGTAATACTTAGTTAAAGTCACAAACACATTCTAACTTTCGTGGGACAAATTGTCTTTATTGTGGTTATAAAGTTTGTGGATTCCATGAGCTTTGACAATACAGCTATTTCTCCACATCTATTGACATGTACATTTCTTTCCTTTTGCTTAGTGTCAGCTGTTCCCTCTTTCCCTCTCATTCCCTCCCTCCCATCACTGCCATTGAGTTGCTTAGTTCATTTTGATCAATGTTCAATGCAGCTGATGGGTCTCACTGTTGTATGTTTTCCCCTGTTTGCCTCTGTTTCTGTGTCCTTCTCCTAGTTTCCTTCAGATGTGCACATATATACCATATATGTGGTCAGCAGCATGGGGCATTTAGTAATGATACGACCAGATGAGTGGAGGGTCTTTGTTTCTTGAGTCTTGTTTACTTTGTTGTATCTCCTTACATTTTGGATTTAACATCCACATATCAGGGAGACCATGTTCTGTTTGTCTCTTTGCTCTTGGTTTACCTCACTCAAAATGATTTTTTTCTAGTTCCATCCATTTCCCTGCGAATGCCATTATATGTTTGTTTGCTTTTTGGTCCAGTTGTGGGGCCTGAACTTTGGGCCTGGGCACTGTCCTCAGCTCTTCAGCTCAAGGCTAGCGCTCTATCACTTGAGCTACAGTGCCACTTCTGCTTTTTTATTCTGCTTATGTGGTGCTGAGGAATTGAACCCAGGGCCTCATGCATGCAAGGCAAGCTCTCTACCACTGAGCCACCTTCCCAGCCCCCGAATGCCATTGTTTTGTCCTTTGTAATGGCTGCATAATATTCCATTGTATATAGGTACCACAATTTTGGATCCATTCATTTGTAGTGGGGCATCTGGGTTGTTTCCCAATCTTGGCTAATGTGAAGAATGCTGCAATGAATATGGAGGTGCATGTGTCCTTGTATCTTGGTTTCTGTTGTTCAGGATAGATGCCTAGGAGTGGTATGGTTGGGTTGTAGGAAAGGTCTATATTTAGCTTTCTGAGGATGCTCCAGACTGCTTTCCAAAGTGGTTGTGTAAGTGTACATTCTCACCAGCAGTGCAATAGGGCTCCTTTTTCTCCACCTCCCCTCCAGCATTTGTTGTTGGCTGAATTCACGATGTGGGCCATTCTGACTGGCGTAAGGTGGTATCTCAGTGTTGTTTTTATTTGTATTTCCTTCACAGCCAGGGATGGTGAGCATTTCCTCATGTGTTTCTTTGCCTTTTTTTTTTATCTCTTCTTCTGAGAAGTCTCTCTTTAGTTCCTCTGCCCATTTAGTAATTGGTTTGTTAGGCTGGGGAGGGCTTAGTTTCTTGAGTTCCCTGTATATACTGGATATTAAGCCGTTGTCTGATATATTGCTGGTGAATATTTTTTCCCGATTAGTTGGCTTTCTTTCTAGTTTGGTTGCTGTGTCTTTAACTGTGCAGAAACTTTTTTATTTTAAGGTAGTCCCATTTATCAAGTCTCTCTCTCCAATTTTTTGTGACCCTGGGACTCTGTTCAGGAAGTTCATGCCTGTGCCTAAAAGTTCGACTGTCTCTCCTACTCTGTCCTGAAGTAGTTTCAGAGTATCAGGTTTGATGGTAAAGTCTTTAATCCATTTTGAGTTGATGTTAGTGCATGGTGACAAGCTGGGGTCCACTTTTAGTTTTCTGAATGTGGCTGCCCAGTTTTCCCAGCACCAGTAGTTGAAGAGGCTGTGCTTCTTCCACTGTATGTCTTTGGCTCCTTTTTCAAATATCAGCTGATGGTAAACGTCTGGTTTTATTTCTGGATCTTCTAATCTATTCCATTGGTCTTCAGGTCTGTTTTTGTGCCAGTACAAAGCTGTCTTTGTTTTAATGGCTCTATAGTAGAGTTTGAAGTCTGGCATGAAGATCCCTCTTGTGTTGTGTTTTTTGCCTAGAATTGTTTAGGCCATTCTAGGTCTTTTGTTGTTCCATATGAATTTTTGGACTATTTTCTGTACTTCAGTAATGAATATCATTGGGATTTTAATGAAAATTGTGTTGAATTTGTATATCAATTTTGGCAGTATGGCATTTTCACTATATTAAGTCTGCCTATCCAAGAGCATGGAAGGTCTTTCCATTTCCTGGTGTCCTCTATAATTTCTTTCTTTAAGTTTTTATAGTTTTCAAGAGTTCCTTTACATCTTTGGTTAGGTTAATTCTTAAATATTTTTGTTTTGAGGTTATTGTGAATGGGATTGTTTCCTCAATTTCCCTTCTGCTTGTACTTTGTTGGTATACAGAAAGGCAACTGATTTTTGTGGGTTGATTTTGTATTCTGCTACTTTGCTGAAGTGGTTTATAAGTTCTAAAAGTTGGGATTGGAGTTTTTTGGATCATGGAGGTAACTAGTATCATGCCATCTGCGAAAAGGGATAGTTTAACTTCTGAACTTCCCAATGCGGATCTCTTTAATGTCTTTTTCTTGCCTTATTGCTCTGGCTAAGGATTCCAGAACTATATTGAAGAGGAGTGGGGAGAGTGAGCATTTTTGCCTTGTTCCTGATTTTAGAATTGGTTGTAGTTTTTCCCCATTAAGAATAATATTGGCTATTGGTCTGTTATATATGGCTTTTGTTGTTTTAAGGAATGTTTCTTCTATTCCTATTTTCTCCAGAGCTTTTAATATGAATGAATGTTGTATCTTATCAAAAGCCTTTTCCATAGCAATGGAGATAATCATGTGGTTCTTGACCTTGGATCTATTGATGTGATAGATTACATTTATTGATTTACACACGTAAATCATCTGCATCTCTGGGATGAAGCCTTCTGTTCTTCTCCTTTTTAGAGTTCATATGTGTATTGCATTCACATGCTATGATAATACAAAATTTTTTATATTTCCCTTATTACATTCCCATCTCCCAATGTATACATATATACCTTAAAACCCTTTAAACCTCCCAATGACTTTTCAGAATCCTTACACTTAGACTTAGCAGCCAACACCCATCCAGTGCCTGGAGGTCACTTCACCCCAAAGTTGTTCACCTCCATAGCACAGTCTTCAGTAATACCAATAGTCCTTGTGTTGCCATCTCTTTTACTTGCCCTTATTAGTCTTTAAGTTATCCTCCATCACATTTTTACCCAGCAGCTTCTTTTTCACATCTCCCTTGGATTTGTTGTATTCCTGTTTCATGTTCCTATAATATAATGACTTTTTTTGCTTTACAAGTGCATATTTCAAAGAACTTGTAAGTGGTAAAACTTACCTTCATGTTGATCTGAAACTTCTTGTTGCCTCTGATTACTTCTGTATATTTCAATTTCTTCCTCCTACTTCTGTATTGCTCACATGAATTACTGTCTGGAAGAAAGTACCGTGATATGCTAGGCAATACATACTGTCATTATTGTTTTTTTTTTCTCCTCAACATACTCAATTCTAGTTCAAATAGCTCTTTAAATGCTTTCCCCAAAATCTGTAATATAGACCATCTTTTTATATTAGCTACTCTTGGCCTAACATTTTCCAATTTTTTTTCTCTTCCCAGGATGGTTCATACTTGGCTGAGTTCCTGCTGGAGAAAGGCTATGAGGTAAGTAACTCAGTGGGCCAGTAGTTGGGAGACTACTGGGATCCAACAACTTGCTTCTGCTGCATGTTCCTGTGTGTACCTTTGGTGGAAACTCTGGGCCTGGGCACTGTCCCTGAGCTCTTCAGCTCAAGGCTAGCACTCTATCACTTAAGCCACAGCGCCACTTCCCAAATAAGAATCTTGAGGCAGACTTTACCATTGTGCCTGTTATACTACCAACTCATTGTGCTGTCTTCTGGTAAGCCCTGATGACATATCCTCCCTGATACCTTCTACATTCCTGAGAAAATAGCAGTCTGTGCAAGCCCAACAGTAATATTATAAAGGCTGATTTATGATGCAGTGAGTACATAAAATTCCTATTCATGATGAAATCACTTAATTTGGAAATTGCATAAAGCAATAAAAATCAAGTTGGCATGCTTGAGTGCAAAATTTACACATGGAGGTTTTTTACTTTCTAAGAGGCAGCCATAACTTTTATGGAAGCTGCAACTTTTAGGTGTGCTACAGCTGTCATCATCAACTTGTTTTGTTCCTTCAATATTTTCTCCTTTACCTCAAAGAATAGTGTTTTACATTAAATTTGATGTACTTTATTGTGTGTATTTCACTTTGTTAGAAAGTTTTTTCATATATAGACAGTGTATGAATTAAGAAACTGACAGTGGATTATATGCTATGACCTGCTTTGCTCATGTTTGCATTAATAGTTTTTCATTGTCTTTTTATTCTAATTGTAGGATATTGCATAAAATATGAAGTTGGAAAAATGGAAAAACGAAAGAAACATGGCATCTAGATGCCAACAGGATTTGAAGAAAAGAAAGTTAATTTTCTTACTTTACCTCAATCTTTTTGAGAGCCTTGACTTTTAGACTTTAAGAAGTTATAGCAGAGCTGAGAGCATGGCTCAAATGTAGAGAGCTTCCTAGTCAGGGTAAAGCCTTGAGTTTAAAACTCAGTATTACAAAACAGCAACAACAAAAAAAACTAAAAAAAAAAAGCCTTTCCTCAAATAAAAAGTCATAGAGAATTTTTTATCCCATTCTGTACTCATATAATAGTAATCGTTCTCTAGCTTACAATATTCAAATTAGATGAATGCAATTATGAAAGGACATATGTACATATTTTTATATGATGATATTACTGTAATAATCAAGAGTCTACATATATTGCCTGGCAGAATAATCAAAGAGTAATAATGTAATTATCAAGAGTATATGTATTTATGTACATACACTGCATATTCTGTAGAGCAGGAAGTTTTAGAGCAGGTCATATAGTGCAAGAAGTGATTTTAAAAGAAGTTCTATGTACTCAGACTGGATTAACTTTATGCTTTGATAAATATTAGAAGGAAAGGTATACTTTCCGATATGTGGAATGTGCTGGGAAGTAGCCAATGAAGTCAGTGAGGCTCAAATGAACCAGATTAAGGAGCTAGTTGAGCATTCATTCTTGAAGTTTTGAAGAGGGAGGTGGTGTTTCAAAAGTGATGTTCCAAATGCATGGGTGTTGTGACATAATTTGAGGAGTGATGAAGTGTCAAAGGCAGGATCTGTGCCTAGTCTAGAAAAAAAGGAAATATGTCTGTGTGCTGTGATAAGGGGTGGACTAGTGGGTGTTAGTCTGGATATACAGATTCACAGGCAGGAGAGCTACTGTTACTGGAAGTCTGAGATGGAGACTTGCATGTAGAAACACCATTCAAGTGTCTCTCATTAATGAACTAGAAGACTTCGCTAGGCAAATGGATGAAAGAATTGGAAACAGAATAATGAGAGCCAAGGACTATCTAGGAGCTGCAAATATTTGCATTCCTTTGACATTTAAATTATATTGATTCTGATACAGAAAGACAATAGAAGACTCAAATGGAAAAATCACAGTCAACTGGGAGGAATTTCTCATAGAAATAATGATTGCCAAAGAAATGGGTCTATAGTTGTCTTTCTTTGATGAGTCCCTGCTGGGTTTTGGGATGAAGGTTATGATGGCTTCATAGAATGTGTTTGGTAGTGAACTTTCTCTTTCAATTTCATTGAAGAGTTGGAGGAGTATTGGTGTGAGCTCTGCTTTGAAGGCCTTGTAGAATTCCGCTGTAAAACCATCTGGTCCTGGACTTTTCTTAGATGGGAGGTCTCTTATTGCTGTTTCTATTTCAATGTTTGATATGGGCCTGTTAAGATGGTTTAACTTATCTTGGTTTAGTTTCAGCATGTCAATATTTGCTAGGAAAAGGTCCATTTCTGCCAAGTTCTCAAACTTATTAGCATAAAGTTTTGAGAAGTATTCCCTTATAATGTTCTGAATCTTGGTTGTTTCTGTGGTGATGTTTCCATTCTCATCTCTGAGTTTATTTATTTGGGTGTGTTCTTTTTCTGATAAGATTTGCTAAGGGTCTGTCAATTTTGTTAATTTTTTCGAAGTACCAACTCTTTGTTTTGTTTGGATTCTAATTCATTTAATTCTGATTTAATCTTAATTATTTCTTTCCATCTACTGTATTGGGGTTTATCTTGCTGGTCTTTTTCAAGGAGGTTCAGATGTCTCATTAAATTGTTGGTTTCAGATCTCTCCAATTTGTTGATGTAGGAACTCAGAGCTATAAACTTGCCTCTGAGTACTGCCTTTGCTGTGTCCCAGAGGAGCTGGTAATTTGTTTGCTCATTTTTTGTTGAATATCATGAACATTTAAATTTCTTTTCTAATCTCTTCCATGACCCACTCATAATTCAACAGTGTTCAGCCTCCATGTGTTACTGGACTTTCTTTGGTGGCTTTTGGTGTTGAGTTCTAATTTTATTCCCTTGTGATCAGAGAGAATGCAAGGTATAACTTCAGTGTTTCTGAATTTGGACAAGTTTGCTTTGTGGCCTAAAATGTGGTCTATTTTAGAAAATGTTCCTAAAATAACAGATACTAGAGGGGATGTGGACAGAAGGGAACCTTACTACATTGTTGGTGGGAGTGTAAACTTATTCAACCACTTTGGAAAGTAGTATGGAGGTTCCTCCAAAGACTCCACATAGAGCTCCCCTATGACCCAGCAATCCCACTTTTGGACATTTACCCAAATGTTTACAAACAAGACCACACTAAAGCTACCAGCACGACTATGTTTATTGCAGCACAATATATTTACTATAGCTAAGATATGAAACCAACCCAGAATCCCCTCAATAGATGAATGGATCAAGAAAATGTGGTACATATACACAATGGAATTCTATGCCTCCATCAGAAAGAATGACATTGTCCCATTTGTTAGGAAATGGAAAGGCTTGGAAAAATTATATTAAGTGAATTAAGCCAGGCCCAAAGAAACATAGGTCCCATGGTTTCCCTTATTTGCAATATCTAGTATATGTATGAGTCGGTCAGATAAGGTGATGTTAGGGAAATGAACCCTAAGATATGTATTCAAATGGTTTTTTCTTTCATGCGATTGTTTCTAACACATAAGATTATTTCTTTGTTGCTTTGTATGTCCCTCCAACACAGTATAACCCCTGCTTTCACTGTACTTGATGTTGGTATAATTTGTTGAGGGGAAGGGGAAAAACAAATTGTTTAAATAGGGATACAGGTGGACCCATGGCAACATTGAGATGTACAAGTCGTTATGTCGAAAAATGAACTTTACAACTTTGGTGAGGGGGGGGGGTAGCGGGAGGATTGGTTGGGGGGTCCAGGGAGAGAATGGGAAGGGGAAACCAAGGAGGAGGCTACAATGCTTGATAAGAAATGTACTCATTATCTTGCCCATGTAATTGTAACCCCTCTGTACAGTATTTTCACAATAAAAAAAAAGAAATAATGATTGCCCACAAATTGATAGGAGAAAACGTGACTGACACTATAGTGAAGAGTTACAGATCCACAAAGCATGAGTAAAATCAGACGTCCCTCAGATACAAGTCCTTTGTGTAGTATAAAAGGTGTATATGGATGGTGGGGGGGGGGCGTTAACCGTACAGTATTCAACTTTAATAGGCTACTGTCCTCAACTTTAAGAGATTAATATAATAGGAGAATAAGCTGTCAAGAGGACTCTGATGGGAGTGAGGCTATATCTTTTTATACTTTGGTTACAACAAATGTTAGAGTGACTTTTTTTTTCAAATTAAATCATTGGAAAATTTCTATGATTATCAGCTGCAGAGCTACAGTCTTTGATTACTCAATGACTATAAGCAGGAGAATATAATTAGTAGATGTGTAGTGGGGCCAGAGGGGGACATACCTGGCCACACCTTAGCCAAGAGGTTAATAGCAGGAATTTTGGCCAAGTACAGACATGAATGAGTTTTTAATCTTTTATGTACATCAGAATTACCTAGAGGTCCTAATGAAACACCAAAGGCAGGTTAGGAATTCTGGGAATTGTTATTTATAACATTTTTACCCATGTGTTGCTGCAGCTACTTTCTTGCAAACTATAGATGCAGGACCACTGCAACTAAAGGTTCAGGTGAGGCAGACAGACTAGTTTCATCACCATTTATCCCTACAAATTCCTTGCTGAGCTATTTCAAATCTGTTCATTCTGTTTATCATGAATATTAGAAATACTGGAAATAGATCAGCAGAGTGCTAGCCAGGAACATCTAAATGTTGTGAAAAATGTGGCTTGTTGAAACAGAATTGTTATAGGAAAGAAGGAAGTACACATTAACTGGGTAGCAATGTCAGTGTCAGTTTGGTACATAAAACAAGAAAGTAGAGCAGGGTCAGGTCCCAGGGGCAGAAATGATGAAGTAACATAGGCAAGAACAAACCTTATATGTCGATTTAGCATAGAATAGTAACTGTACTCTTTTACTTTTTCTCTAGTCAAAATATAAGAGAGTACTGAAGACTTTACTAATGTTAACTCAAAAGCAGACACTTCTGAATAGCTTGAGAAGGAATAAATCAATGAATTGATTCGTAATGGTTAATGACCTGTGTGGCCATACACATTTTTAGATTCCTGAAGCTGTGGGGCCCTG